CAGGCAGCAGGCGGGAATCGAACTCATGCGGAAGTGGCTTCAGATTCTCAGTGCTGCGCTTTAACCCGCTGCGCCACCAGGGAGGGCCTCCTTGAGTTTTTTTTATACTAAAATTTTAAAGTTTTTTTTTCTTTCATCTTTTACTTACTTATTTTTTCATTGGTTCAGTCTTATAAATTCTTCTACCTACTCTCCACCCTTTCCATCTCTTTTCACTTTTGATCTCTAACATTTTTACCCTAACTGAAATAATCTTTCATCATTTTCTTTGTCAATGCATTCCACTATTTTCCTTATGTTTTAGTTTACACATTCTGAAAATGGTACTTTGCTTTTTTCATTAAATTTTTTTAAGATTTTTTTTTCTTAAAAAAAAATGAAGGCACAGATGTGACAGAAGTTCTGTTAGTTACTAGAGCTATGGTGATGGGTACATGAAGAGTCTCTAAAGTAATACCTTAGGAGGACAGAAATAATTAGATATTACATCTAATACAATATGTTAAGACCCATGGAGTTATGAAAGGGCACCTAGGAATATATAGGAGATACCACAATTAAGGCTGGTTTTAACAAGAATTCTTGGATATGAATGACTCAGGTGAAGAAGAGGTGAGGAAGGAAGATTTCCAGTCATACAAGGCCCAAAATGGAGAGACAGAATGTTTTGTGTGACATTTAGTTAATATTAAAACTATTTCAGTTTACTGAATGCATACTTATATGACAAAACTTTTAAGCTACAAAACTTTTAAGGTTGTGGTGCTTATATGTTTACGTATTTCTTTGGCTCAAAAAGCATCTGTTCTCTTTTCGTAGCTACTCACTCACATGCCATAATTCCACTTGCAGATAATAGTTGCTTTATACCTGCTAATGACTAATTTTAGATGCCTGCGGCAGATATGCAAATTCATTTCCAAGTTTGTCATAATAAGTGAGGATTGATATGTATGTTTTTCCTCATATGGGGAAGTCAGAATGTGATGATTATAGTGTTTTATTGGCAAATATTCAACCCCAGATTACTCTGAACTATATTATGTGGCACAGTATAGATGTTACATTATGCAAACATGCTAGGCAAAGGCCGGCTGTATTCTGAAATAAACCACAGTGTGTATTTTAAGACAGTGTCTTCTGGCATTAAAATGATGGGATGTGCTTTATATAGTAAATTGTCTCACTCCCAGACCATTTGTCCAGAACCAGAGAAAACCAAATTTTCTTTACAAGGAAGTTATAAATTAGCTGTGATGAAGATGTTTTAATCTCAATTTTAAAATTTTTAATATTTTCGAGAATAACTGCTTTGCTTTTATATTAACTAAAATACTAGCTTATCAAGTTTTTATCAGTAAATTAGGAACTATGGTTACATAGATTATTTTAAATTGAAAATTAAAGAATTATCAAAGAAACTGTTAGACACTAATTTTTTTTTCCTTAGTAGTCTAAGCTAAGGGATACAGGATTGTAAGAAAGAATAGAGATTATTTTTTATTTTTGATATCTATGGAGACAGAACTAAATAAATTGACTTAGTTTTGTGATCTAAGTCTTCTCATAAATGAAGATGAAATACCAATTCATTGTGCCTCTTTGGCAGAGATTATTTTGTTTGAGGTTTAAATTAATACTATGTATTATGTTTATATTAAAAATTTCATTCTGCTTCTTTTAAAAGTGAGCATCTTGAGTGCTACGCTTGTACTGATTATTTCTTAGTCTCTCAGTGCAGTAGCACAACTGACTTCAGAACACAGAGACAGCAGTGTTTTGGTCCTGCATTCTTTCCACTTGACAGTAGGAAGAAGAGAACACCAGGAGGGTAAGAAAGAAGATGGAGGAGGAAATGGAAGACAAGGGAGTGGAGAAAATTGTGACTTGTTTTTATTGTCTGCCATTCACCTTACTTAGTATCATCATAATTACTGTTTTTAATCTTCATCATAATCTTCTGAAATAGACATTACCTCCATTTTATAGTTCAGAAAACTGAATCTCAAGGAAGTTATGTATCTGGCTTATTGTTGAACACCTAGTATTAAAGATGCTCTGAGGCCTGTCTTTCTGCCACCGCACAAAACTGATTCCATTCTACTTCTTCTCTCACGTATATTTTTCATTTTTAGTGGACAATGCAAAATTCACTTGATATTTTATTGTTAGAAGAGAAGAAGCTCAGAACACTAAAACATGATCAAACAAAACTCTGGCTCTGCACCATGATGTGTTGGCAATATTGACACTTTCAGAGAAAAAAAAAAGAAAAAAGAAACAGCTCCTTTCTGGAGTAAAGTAAAAGTAGGGAATTAAAAGTATTTATCAAAACTGAAACAAAGCCATGTTTTGTAAAGCACACATAAATAGCAGTACCTTGGATCAAAGATGTGATCTCACTTCATAGTAAAACAGGTCCTGCAAGCCCAGGTAACTCAGGAAGCAGAGTGGTAATTATTCACAGAAGAAAGCAGGTAGTATACTGTTACAATACTACAGTAGAAAGTCAGAAGGTCACAAAGCGTGCAGGGTAGCTGACACAACTTGAAACTGCTTGGCCCCCTTTAAAAGAAATACCAAAATGGGAGAGAATGAAGCAAGTTTACCTAACACATCTTTGCAAGGTAAGTGCAACACCCCTTGAAGTTCTGTTAATCAGAAACTTAAGCAGTGTGGATTACCAAATAAGTGAGTGTTCGTGCGTGTGTGCATGTGAGTCTTTGTGTGCCAATGTGACCTGTGGATTTTCTGTGTGCGCTTTGAGGTTGGGGAATGACGAGGGATTGTTTCAGAGGCAGCCGTCTGCTGTCTCTGTAGTGCTCAGCAATCTGACCCTCACAGGAACACAAATTTGGTGGAGTGGGAAAGCCTTTCCATGCACTGGATGTAATGCTGAAGAAATGGGCAACTGACTTCCAATTCATTTTCTTGTTAGCCCTTTTGCAGCAGTGACAGTATAAATTTTTGTCTCGAAAAGAGGAATTTTTATTTGTAATCAAATTTTGCCATCTCGGGTTTGCCAACTAAATGTTCTTGTAATTAGTATAGTGCATTTCTAAGTAGAAAACAGGATCTCAGAGGGGAGAGAGCCTCTCATTTGGGGAGAGTGGTTTATTTTACAGGTCTTACGTAATCAGATACCTTTGTCCTTTGAAGGGATTGGCTTTGTTGACACTGGCCTGAGCGGGCTTGGGCTTCCATGGTTAGGCTTGTTGATAGAAATACATACAGCATTCCTCACACATTTTACTTTTTTTTTTTTTTTTAGTGAGGAATTTTTTAAAATAAAAATAGAAAATAGAGCTAATGCTTATTTGTTGCACTGATTTCAACTGCTATACTTCATAATGAATTACTTACCACCTTTACAGAAAACATGTTGATCAATTTTTTTTTTAATATACCTGACAGTGAATATTCTTGGGAAGCTACCACCAAGAAAATCCCCAAGCTATACAGTTTTCCATTAAGCCATATAATCAAGCATGCAGCTATCTGTGAATTATAACACATGAGAATAACAATAAAATCATCCTAGATTTGTCTAGTTGCAAAAGTATCTATCATTCATTTTATAGAGTTAAATGATCTTCTGGCATGCCTGTTCTTTCTTCTCTGTTTTATTCAGTCCTTCCTCTACTTGACCTATTTAAATTTCTAGAATTTACTTTATTTCTTTTTGTTTCATAATTTTTTAAAAATCATACATAAAATTCTTCTGTGAAGTATTTTAGTTTTAAAAATCATTTAACAGTTATTTAGTACATTCCATTGAAGAAAAAAAAAAAAGGTAGAGGCCTCATTTAGCATCATTCTGTGAATAATGTATTTGTATGTATTTTCTGGGCAAAATAACATTATGTTCAACGATTAAAACATATCTCTTAATTGACTCTTGGATAGTTCTTCTTTGAAAATATGTTGTTAATATTACTCATATCATAATAATTTTGAATAAAATGTTCAGCAACCACCTGAGTATTTACCCAAGGCACTGTGGGTACAATACCTGTGTCTGTGTCTGCCCAAGGATAGACAAAACCTGAGGACATACTGGGCTCTCCTTTCTTTAGTGTGAGGATCACGGGTGGCATTTACTCTAATTTTAGGTCCTAGAATTATTGAATTTTCTTTTGTTGTTTCTTTTTCTTTTCTTCTTTGCCATATTTCTGCCTGCTGTTTTGGCACTATGTTACACTCTAAAAGGGTAGCTCCCTTTCTTCTCTATGTATGTATTGGCTATATCAGTATCACTTATATTCTCTCTTACATCTATATGCATATATAATTACTTTCAGAATTAACAATCATATCCATGAAAAAACATGCATAAAATTTAAGGCAAGAAGTATAATAAATAATTTAAGAGTCTTGGTTTGAGCTGGAAAATTATGTGCCCAGATCCATAAACTTTCTGAGAATATTTGTGAGAGTGATTTTATCCAAGAGCATTGTCTTTAATGCACAGTGTAAAAAAATTTCAACAAGGAATGTGTTTTCTTCAGATTTTATTTAGGTTTAACTGTATCCTTAGTAGATCTACAAAGAATTCAGATCTATCTTATTGAAGTATTTCTAGTTATATTTGTCTTAAGATTAAGTGAACCTACTAATCAGGTAGGAATTAATGAGAAATGATAGCACATCATTTGTTGGCTTTAAATTATTTCTGGGTTATGTTGTAAGTTATAAAGGAAAGCACCATAGGGATGATTTGCTGTTTTATTTGTATGTGTGAAATAATATTTCACAATATTTTATTATTTTGTCTAATATCACATAAAACAAATCAAGATATATCTTGGAGTCTTAATTTATGGAAGATGCTACAGTTACTCTATTTTCTGTACAATAACTATCTAACATCTGAAAGTATCTTTAAAAAGTATCAAGTGAGATGAAAAAGTCAATTTTAAATGTTCAATTTTGCCGTTTACTTAATAGTATTTTTTAAGACAGAAGTAAAAATGCTAAAAGTTGCAGAAGTAAAAAAAAATCTCTGAAATAATACTAATTATTATCAGCTGTTCTGGTAAAAAAGGGGTCAGACAAAACACTGTTTTATTCATTAAATACTGGGTGATTTATGTAGTTTGACTATGAAGATGATAAATGACAGTAGAGATTCACCATGTACTTTGAATGATGATTTTCTAAGGCCACATATCTAAATTTTCTAGATTAATTGGGCTCTCCCTACTCAAAACTGGGAGAGCTTAGACATAGACATTATCAGATTTTATTTCTGTTTGCTGTAGGTTTTGATATATTTTTTGTTCAGGAAGCCAGCTGACTCTCTCCTGGTTAGTGAAGCTCCTATGTTGTCAACAATGAATTCCCCCACCACAAATTAAAGTGGATTAAAAATTATCTTCAATTTAATGTTGTTGAGAAAACAAAATTCATAATAACCTTAAAAACTACTTGGCTTTATTCAACTATTCAAGGGTCAGGAAGTGTACCTGCTAGCAGGTAAAGAATACTGTGAGAATTTTGTAAAACATGGAAGGTTTTTATATGCAGAAAGTGAGTGGGACAAGGCATTTTAGCAAATGAAAACAGTATTTTAGGCAAGGCTGCCCTCCCATTGTTGCCTTTTTAGCACTAGAAGAAAATCTCAATTGTCTTTTCAAAGGAAAGCAGCACTTACTTTCACTCTAAATGACAGAGTGACCCCACAGAGGATTACATAGATTTCATATATGAAGGTTCATAATATTCTCAGGAGTCATAAAATTAATTTTCCTAGAGTAGGATAAAGTGCTCAATTTTTTTTTCCTAATTTGTGCAACTATAAATACAAATGGATAAGTAATGGCCAAAAGGAGCAATGCAAGTGCTTTTCACTACTATTATAAAGGTAAGGACACATCATTTCTTGCATATCATCTGCAAACACATGTGCCACTGAGTAGCAGTTTGTTAGTCTGTGAATAATAGTGGGAGATCGGATAGGGCTGATGGGAGGGCTGAGATTCCTTTCCTGGCAGGCAGCTATCTGAATAATGCCTTAAGCTAAGGTTTCTCCAGAGGCTACCCTTGGGCATGTTTCTTACCTGTTTTCTTTCTGAAAGGAGATGCATTTTCTACTTTCACCTTGTTTAAAAGATGAGAAAGACCCAATTCAGAATTTTGAAAAGAGAAAAGAATCTGCCACTATCCAGCTATATTCCTCATCCATTGAGTCCCTCCTACTTCAGGAACTCAGTCCCCTTGAGAATGTTCAGGTTTCTTTCTCTTTTCCTCCTCCTTAGTCATATTTTCCCAAGACCACCTGTCACTTTGTAAAGGATAAATTTTGCTAATTTATCCTTAGAATTTGTGGCATACATTTTTTATCGAGTTCAATGCTAAAATAAGCTGTGAGAGATTTATTGAATGGGGGAGGGGAGATTCCAACCCTTGGCTGCTCAACACATCCTCTTCACTTAGGCTGATGACTTAGCAGCTTCTGGGATGTTTTCAAGCACCTTCCAATAATAGACTTTTTTTTTCTTACCTCAGTTCTTATTTCTCTAGATCATCAAAGGTTGTAATCTACGGTAGACTAGTGCTCAGGTGGAAAGTATTTCAGTGCACAGAAAAGTTGGCTTGCCCTTGTGGAATGCAAGGCCAGCTCTAGTACACTCTGCAGAGAGGAGAGAATGCTGAAGGGGAATTTGACTGTCAGAGTTAGAGAAAAAAATATGCAGAATGTTAACATTCTCAAGGAAGAGGCTTTCAGAGGACCTCAAGTCCAATAGTTTTGTTATGTATAAAAGCAAAGATACCCTATGAAGGTGAGAATATTGTAGGTTCTCAGAAGCAGTTGCCAAAAATCAGATCTCCACTCTGGCTGCCTAGAACCTGTAATTTTACAAAGACATCTGGTCCATTATTTTCCAGAAGCATTTTCTTTACTATTTCTTAAGAAATCAGAGTTGTAAATGCTTTCTATATTGCATCTTTTAGTTCCTATATTAATGCTATGACCTGCAAAGCTCTGTCCAGTAATCAGTCAAGCTATGTGGCTCTAGTGCCTCATGTTTTGAGGTTTCTCCTAGCTCCATAAAAGTTACATTAGTTTTTAAGACATTTACTTAACTTCCATCATGACCAGGAGTAGATGACTTGAATGTCCCTATGCACCTGCAGTGAATGTTTCTCATGGTTCATTCAGTTTCCAGAAATAATATTCATGTTCCATTTGGCTAGTAAATGGGGGGAAATGTAGGCAGGAAGGTGCCATAGTGTCTGTACTTCCAAGTTGCAGCCCCAGGGTAGCAGTACTGTATAGTCCAACCTGTTCTACTGGTTTGGTATGCATGTTTACTTTCTGTGGTTAAAAAAAAAAATGTTCATCATAAACTATGCCTGTGAGTGTCTTGAAACCTTTCTAGAATCCGAAAGATGAGTAAGATGAGTAACCTGTTTGTGACTCCCCCTTCCCACTCTAATAGACCTTTAATAACATTCTCAAATAAGAGAAATCTGGGGAGTTAATGTTTAATCTGAGCTCTAGGAAAAAGGCTTTTTTACTTTTCCTTTGTGATAGGTTGAAACATTTGATGACATGAAACAGGTGGGATTTGAAATACAGATATTTATGTAGCAGAGCATTTTGGAGTTGAAATTTAGATATTTA